TTTTCAGCTTAAGGGTCAAAAAGGCCTGACCCACATTGGAGGAAGCCAAACCCAAATCAGGAATAGGACACGGGCAGTGAAGGGAAACTGGGCCACCCAGTCTGGGCTAAGCATCTACTTCTGCCCACACCTCAGGTCCTTCCTAAAAGTGGTCACCTTCCCCAAGCAGCTGGACACAGCTTGGCTATGGTCTGAGCCCACTGGGCTTGCTGGGCAGGCCAGGCCAGGGAAGCCTCTTAATCCTGGCCTAGGACATTTTCCACAGGCTTCTCCTACCCTCAGCACCCATGATCCAGATCTCCCCAGGGAGGGGTAACTGCAGGGATGACGGGTGGGTTGAAGAGCACCTAATGACTCAAAAGTCCCTGCCTCCTTTCCTTGCCATCCCTTCACACAGCCCACACCCCCAGCTGCCCCTCACTCCAGCAGGAAAGTGATGCCTACAGGTGGGCGAATGACTCCCCCAGGCAGGGCTGAGATGCTATTGTGCCCTACTCCCCGTCCTGCCCCCCAGCACTCACTCTTTCGGACTGCATCAGGGGCTGGATGGGGGGTGTTGGTGACTCACCGTTGCTGTTCAGGACTCTGGCTGAGATTCTTCCAGCGGAATCCTGAGCCCTGGGTGGGAAGTCAAGAAAGACAGGTGAGTGCATGCAGGCTGTCCTTGAGCACATGCTGAAAGCCCCACTCTGTGAGGTCCCTCACTTGGGCTCCAGCTCTGGACGCAGCACCTCACTCCCTGTTGCCTGTGCTTTCCCAACTTTACACCTGCCTTGGTGCTGGCCTCGTATTTCCAGAGTACAACTACACTATCACTCCCAGGCTTCTTACTTCACAAGCTGGCCTCCTCCTAAGTCCGAACATGAACCTCTAAGGCCCCTGCTGGTTTCCAGGCTGGGGAGGGGGTTGTGACTCTAGAACTGTCTCTACCACCGGAATGGGGGAAATGTGTGTGGGGACTCAGCCCTTTCAGACCCTGAAAGCTGAGGCAAGGCTCTTCTCCAGTGGGATTCAAGGGCAGGGGGCTCCTGGGCCCACCTATTGAGGCACTCCAGGGATCCCCTGCCATTTGGGTCTCTCCGGTTAGATTCTCAGTCACAGGCTTTGGAGAGCTCAGGTCAGGGGCTTGGAAGAGATGACGATCCCAGTGTAAATGTGGCAGAGTCAGGGAAGTCTCCTATAGTCCAGGCTGTTTCAAGAACCAGCTGTGGATTCCAGCTGCAGGTAGCCAGCTGTGCCCAGCCAGATGGGTCTCTCCACATTGCCATGTATTTTGTCTTCTTTCTTTTTTGTTTTTTATCTTTTTGAGGCAGGGTCTTGCTATGCAATTCAGGCTGGCCTTGAGCTCACTTTGTAGCTCAGGCTGGTCTCAAACTCAGTGATGATCCTCCTGCCTCAGCCTCCCAAGTGCTGGGATTACAGGCGTGTGCCACCACGCCCGGCCCTACCATGTATTTTGTTGCTTTTGGGAAGAAAAAAAATCTTAGCTGTCAAACTTGTCAACAAACATCACCACACTTCAGGAGAGAAAACTAGTTCTTTCTTGTGGGAGAGCCCAGCTTCATCAAGAGCCCTTGATAAAGTAAAGCAATTGCTCCCCCTCCTTAAAATTTTGGTTCTAGGAGGAAGCTCCATCCAGCCCAGCCCTTTCCCTGTGCGCCAAAACAGCCCCAGGCCTTCCCTGGTGAGTGCTCCAGTTCACACTGGAACCCACAAGTTGCCCAAAGCAAGGAAGAGAGGAGGCCCTCTTTCTCCAGAACCGAAGATTAACCTCAGGGGTGGAGACGATTCCCAAAAGGGCCAGGGAGGGAACACTGGGCTGCATAGAGAGACCCCTTTGTCTTTCAACCCGATTTTCATAAAATGCAAATTCTCAACAAGCTGTTTATTGTGTGCGGGGGAGCCAGGGCCAAGGGAGGAGGAGGGGATGAGTGGGGAAAGGCCACCAGTCCCCTTTCCTTAACCTGAGTCTTAGGTCTGATTCTGAGCGTTCAGGTCCCCGTGGGCCTGAGGAAGAGCCCGAGAAGAAGAGAGGGTGACCCAGAGGTCGGGCGCGGCCCGCATCCTTCCTGCCCCGCGGGGACCGCGAGACTCCCCCCCACCGCGTCCGGTCGCGGCGAAATCCGGGGAGCGGTGTGCCCTTGCACCCCGCACGTCAGATGCCCCACGCCCAGGAATCGGTGCGCCCTGGAAGGGTGCTCTCCGGGGTTGGGGTGCCCCTCGCACTTCCTCGCCGTGAGAGCGCACGCCAGCGGCCACTGGCCCCTCTCCAACCCAGGGCGGCTCTAGGTCCCGCAACTTGTCGGGGTGAGCAGCGGAACCTTATTCCGAGCCCTCCTGCTCCAACTCCAGAAGCCTGGACAAGACGAGGGGGTCGTGGGGGTTCGAGACGCGGGGACACAGGGAGGCGGGCCAGGGAGGGCAGAAAGCCAGATGGAAGAGTGGGAGAAAGGGGGTGGTGGGGAGGTGTCAAGGCAGGAGAGGCAAGGAGACGCGGCGGCGGTGGGTGGGGAGCGGAGCAGCGAGCCCCCGAGATTGGGCGGCTGCAGGCGGGGGCCACAGCCTCCAGAGCAGCGGAGGCCGCGGGTGGGGAGGTGAGGGCCAGGAGGAGCGACGAGGCCAGCGCTGGGGCAGGTGGGGGACGCCGTGGACACGAAGGAGAGAAGCTGGGGGGGGCCGTCACAGCGCTGAAGGGGTGGAGCAGGTCCTGGGGAAGGGGCCCTGGAGGGTATCGGGACTGCGGGAGGCAGGGGCTGGGGGACGCACCTTCCGGCGGGGCAGGGTGCCCCCGGACACGGCGAGCGCGCGGTACAGCTCAGCGGGGTGATAGTCCTCCAGCGCCGCGTACAGCTCGTCCCCGGGGGGACCGGGGGTGGCGGCTGCAGCCGGGGGACCCGAGGCCGGGGTCGCGGTTGGAGCGGCTTCCGAGTCCGGAGCCCGGGCGGCGGGGTCCAAGGCGGCGGCAGCCTCCTCTTTCTGCTGCAGCTTCCTGAGACGGCGGAGGGTCATGGCTCCGGCGCGGGGCGCCCCTCGGAGGCAGCGCAAACTCCTCTCCGCGGCGCCGGCGGCCGCTGGTGGATACCAGCCCGGTGGGCCGCAGGTCGCCTCCCTTTATAGGCTCCGGAGCTGGGCGGCGCGCGGCCTCCGGTGGCCTCGCCCACAACGCTGCCGGCTCCGCCCCCCAGAGGAGCTTGGCCGGGGGTAGCCCAGGCGCACAGCCTTCGACGGCCGGCGGGGCTGGGCGAACTTGAGGACCTGCAGGTTGGGTGCGGGAAACCAAGGCACCGAGGGGAGCGGGGGCAGGGATGGCAACCCGGGGCGGGGCCAGAGTGTACGTGATACCTGGAGGGGGTCTGCGAAGGGACTTTCCTTGCGAGATTTGAAATTTGAGAGTGAGAGGTTTTAGCGATTCATGGGGAGGGGGAACAGTAAGGGGTCATGTAAGGAAGTCTGGGGTCCTGGGGGGGAGATTAAAAAAATGTGAGGGTGGGGACTGCAAGAGACGGAGGTGGGGGCAGGAGGCACAGGACTGTGCAGGGGAAAGGGCTGCGACCCCAAGGGGGAAGGACGGGGTTTATGCCCCTGAACTGACTGCGCAGAAGTCTTCAGGGAGTGAGACACCCGGGATGTTCCCTTTACACTGCCGTCTCTGGGAGCTGAAAGAGGCTGCCTCTCCCTGCCTCCGGACAGAGGGAAGACGTGAAACCCTGAAAGCAGGAGGCTTAATTCTGAATAGTCCCCCCGCAGGTCTGGAGTGGTCCCTGCAGAGTAAACCTGTCCTCAGCTCCTGACACCGAGCCTAGAGCCCCCTTTCCCAGCAGACACATCCTTACTGCGGCATTGACTCTTGACTCGCGGCACTGGGATGGGCCCAAGGCAGTGTGGGTGCTGAGCCATTCTCTGACCCTGCCTTAGGGACCATCCCCCAGGCTCATCGTTACCATGGTTGCCAGGCCTGGGAGAGGCAGGGATGGCCCAGCGAAGTCTCTGTCGTCAGTGGTGCCCAAATAAGAAGTGAGAGGAGGAAGTGGAAGGCCACGTGTGATGTCTAAAGAGCAGCTAGCCACCACAGGCTGTCAGCACAAGCTGGGGACTCCACATCCCCACGCAGCGCACTAGGCGGAGACCAGGGCTGCGCTGTCCCTGCCGGTCCCCTCCCCCAGTCTTCTCCGATAGGTTATGCTTTATAGCTGGCACTTACTGAGCACCTACCATGTGCTGTGTAGTTCGCCTTTACATTATGTATTAACCCACGCGGCCCTGGTAACACTATGGAAGAGGTACCATTACAAAGGAGGAGATAGGCCCAGGAGGTAAGCAGCCTGGCTGGGTTTCTCAGCCACAGAGCTGA